ATGAGCTCCTGTGATGAAGGTGGTAGAAAAGTATGAGGCTAATTAAGTGCAAAATACTTATTTCACTATTAAGGCTGCACATTTAAAGCCAGGAAATGCAAAAGTTCAGGTTCTGCTGGCACTGTTATTTATGTGTGTTTAACTTGTGTAGTGGTTTATTTCCCTTTCTAATCAACAAGTAATTATTCTTAATATTCTCAGTGATTATCATCCAGCCTCCTGTGTGTTGAGAGACATGGAAGGTTGAACTCCCTGCTCTGCACAAGGCAGCTGGGAGGGTTGGGATCGTGGTGCTGAGGGGGATGAAGGGAGAGTGGGATTTGGGAGAGTGCTGAGGAAGGTGAGCGTGGACTCAGGGTCAGGTTTATGCCCTGACCAATATTCCAGCACCTGACAAAGCTGAGGTTCCACTGGCACAGTCCCTTACTGGGCAGCATTTAGCAGTTCCTGTCCTGGATCACAGCTGTGCCACACTTGGTACAGTGCAGGCAAAACAATCTTCACCTCCTGAAGCCCGCCCAGCAGAGATCAAAGGGATCCACAGCCAACTCAGTCCCTTGGTAGCTGGAACCACAACTTTTGCATTTCTCAGCAGGCCTAAACACTGCACTAACACCTCTTGTACTCAACCCACAACAAACATTGAATTTGTCTAATCCAATAACTTCATCCCATACAAATAAAACAATACTAAGGATTTTTCCAGCTGTATTTTTTAGCTGTATTAAATGGCTGTTGGTTCATGTACGTCATTACCTTAGAGCACCCAAGCTGTGTGACAGGAAATGACGTGCACACTCGTGTGCATTTGTTTAGAGCCTTCATCCTGCAAACTCTCATGCACATAGCTGCATTTATTCATTCCTTTTTGCAGGAATCAAATCTATCTATCAAAACCTCTACACTGGGAAAAAATGTGGAGACTTAGATTCTTATCTTGTGAACTTCCCTGCTGACAACCTTAAAAAAAAATTCTGTTTCTGCTTTGTGGTAAAATATACAGATTTAATGCCAAAGATACCACTTTACTTATGCCAAGAAACTAACCTGGATCGTGTGGCTTTGTTACCTGAGGGCTGGGGAAGGGGGAATCCACATCTAAATGATACCTGCACCTTGTAGAGTCAACAGCATTTAGAGCTTATCTGAAGCTTCTGTAGCCAAACTGCTTGAGATTGCAATGACTCCATCCCTAACAACATTCTGACACGCACTCCCATCAGGCCGCTCTGCCTTGGTTTTCTGCAGATGCAAACAGAGTTTTTTGCTCAGTGTTTTGTTGTGCTGTGTATTGGGGTGGGTGTTTGAAGTGCTTTCAGGATGGTAAACACTGTTCTTTCTTTTCCCTCCCTCTCTCCCTCACTGCTCCTTCCCTGGAAGGTTTAGTTTCTTCTCTCGTGATAAGAAACGTATGCAGGCGTCACAGAAAAATGTCCACTTCCAGGGAACTTTTGGAGAATGGTCACATTCAAACAGAGATGACTCCTACATGGAACAAGGACAAGAAGCCCTGCAACACCTGTGACTAAACCCCTGAGGTGTTTGGTTTGCTGCAGTAGATCTCGAGAGCCTCGTAACAAGAAGCTTCTGTAAAGCATCGCAGCAGCTCCTCACTCGTACTTGCCTTGCACACCTCGGGGGTTATTTCAGACTCCAAAAGGGATCCCTCACTGTTCACTTGGTGACTGTTTGCTGCAAACAGGAACCCAAGCTTTGTAGTAACAGTTGCTGACACCCTGGGACATGGAAGCTTCTAGATGACTTGTTTTGAGCTGAATAACAAGTCCATGATCTTGTTCATGCATTAACTACAGTAACACAAGCTTCTTTAAACCAAAAAAGGACCTGTGCCATTATTAGAAGTTTGTTTGCAGTGTATATCTAGTACAGGGCAACGACTCTTCTACCCTGTTTGTTAACACTACTGGTTGTTTGCTTTTTATTTCTGTAAGAATTTTTTCAAGAGGGATACGACAGCTGGATGCCCTTGGTGGCAGCCCACAGCTCTGCTGTGCCCTGCCAGTGCCGCTGGCATCGGCATCTTGCAGAGTCACCCCTTGGAAAGGCACCTGACACAGTGATAACTGGAGCAGCCTTGAGAGGAACAGTGAGTGTACATTTCCCTTGTGCTTATAGTGCCTCAAGCATGAAGAGCCGATGTATGAGGTGAGCGTGCCTTGTGTTCTGCAGTATTCATGGAAAACAAGTTGCTTACAGGGAGGAACCCTAACTCTTGAATTTTTTTCCCTTCTTACCAGGGACTTCCTCACAGTGTAGCAGGCAGCTGCTGCAAAAGAATTAGACCTTTCCCACAGACAGGTTTTTAATTAAGTCACACTTTTTCCTGTCTAGGTAAACTGCCCAGCTTCAGAGGGAAACACATCCTCAGCTGGCTGACATGAACTATTTCGCTGACCTAGACATGACCCCAGCCATTTCTCTTGACTAAACACTACGTGGGCAGAGCACATGAATTCTGTGTGAAGCTGCTCCTGTGCTGATGGCAGATGTCTGGGTAGCCCCTGTACAGGGCTGAACTTGCCAGGACAGCCCAGCAGCCAACCCCAGGGGCTGGGGCTGGATCTGCTTTGCAGCTGAGCTGGTGAGACCCCAGGCCTGACCAAGGCTGTCCTTCCAACACTAAAACCTCACAGCGTCAGAGCTGTGGACACCCAGTGCCAGTGCAGTCCCCACCTCTGCTCCACACACTCCACGAGGAGCCTGAGCAGGAGGGAGAGGGTGCATGTGTCCATGGCTCTGTGTGAGCACAGGGCTGAGTGTCTCTGTGGCCTTGGCCGTGGGCTGGGAAGGTCCATGACAGACACCACTGCTCATGGGGAGGATCTCGTGCCAGCAGGGCCATGGGCAGCTGCATGTGCAGCTCGGTGCCAGGGGCTGGGAGCTGCTCTTGGCACCACACCCCCAGCTGCTCACCTGCTCTGCAGAGCCTCTTAGGAGTGGCACCAAGGACAAGAAATACAGCTCAGGCTGGAGCAAAGCTCCAACTACTCCAGGTACTGAGTGTAGGAGGAACTCTCAAAGGACTCCAGAGGGCTTCATGCAGGCCAGTTGTTCTTATTACAGGGTGATCCAAGAGTGGATTTTTAATGTGTGAGCAGCATCTGTAGTAAAACCCTGGCAGTAGAACCTCTCCCTGCAGTGGTGGGCTGTGTGCTGTCCTGCTCCTGGCTGTAACTGCTTCATTCCACCATGGACCTTCTGTGTGTTCTAGGTAGGGAAAGTGTTTACTGTGCCACTCTGGTGTCACTGGAGCTCGGGGCAGGGGGGACATGTGGCCTTACATGGGACATGGTGATCAGAGCCCAGTGTGGGTATGGGGTAGATGTGGTTTTGCCTGCTTATGCTTTGGTAACATCCTCAAAACAGCAGCACTTCTCCCCTCCTGTGAAAAGCAACTCTTAAATGGGGCGAATGTCTTAATTTAATGATACTTAAATTGCCAAGATGTCTTCACTTCCATATAAGAAAACAAAAAGTGCAGTACAGTCACATCAGGCAGTTAAATTGCGGATGACCCCATCGCGTCTGTCCCGAGTCGTGTGGCTCATTCAGAAGGGATGCAGTGAGCAGAAACAATGCAGGAACGTGGGCCTGAGTAAGCAGATCCCTTTGGAAATCAGCTGAGAGCAATGAGCTGGGATAATGGAGCTGCACAGACCCGACCTAAGCCGGTGCAGCACAAAGGAAATCTCCAGGCCTGGTGCACGTCCAGCGGAGCGCGGGGCTGTGTCAGGCCAACACCAACAACTGCAGGAGGCAGGACAGCCTTCCCCACATCTCTGCAGCATTACCTCAGCCCCTCAGAGCTCCTCCTGACCTGCTGGCATTACCCACTCGTTCTCATGTTTGCAATGCTGCATTCACACACCCCAAGTGCCATCGGGAAGGATGGCGCAGAGGGAAGCTCTGTAAAGATCTGAAGATCTGTCGTGTATTTTTTGTCAATATTCAAGGAAAATCTGCTTTTAGAAAAGGGGCCAGGATGCTGGCAGGTTAGGGGTGTAACAATCCTGCCTGCCAAGTGCAGGATCACTGACATTTTTTGGGTTGGTTTATTTTTTTTTTTTTTTTTGGTTGGGCAGTAAATCATTTTAACAGTTTAATAAATATTTCTGAAAAATATGTATTTCTGCAAGACTTGTGTCTTTTTTTTTTTTTTTTGGTGGAAAGTAATACCATCCATTCTTGGGGATGCAGCTTATGGATCTGTGTACAACTTCATGGAAATACAGCCTCAAACCAGACAAGGTTTAGGACAGAGCCATTCCAAGACTGATGAAATACAATTTAAAATACATTATATATTTAGGAATGGCTTATGATGACAAAGAACATGACAGAACCTTTTCTAGAAAGTACAGTAAGCTCCTTAATGGAAGAGGTGTGTCTGTATTTACACATCCTAGCCCTGAAAAAGATGTTTTGCCCTTTTCCCCCATTCAGCTACAACCAGCAGCAAGCCCAGTTTCCAGAATGGATTTAAACCCTGTGTAGAAGGGTGAGGACAGAGCGGGTGCAGCTGCAACCACATTTACCCATGACACCCTCCTCCAGTGACTGTCCATGGATTCATCAGGAACATGAGGCATTTTCTGACCTGCTTGCTGTCCCGTGGTGCACATTCCTCTGCACAAAGGAGTTTCATCCTCCCATGTCATAGACAGTGGATTGGTTCCACGTTTCTCTCCCACCTGGGAGAACTAGTTAAGGACACTATCAATAAAGGTCTTGCCTGTCCCAGTGTCTTCACAAAAATGAAGCCACTTCCCATCAGCTTCTGTTGTGGGGCACAGAAGTTTCAGAAGTTTGCTATCCCATTCCTGTGTCTCCAGCACAGGACTGTTTCCTAACAAACATGTGGACATCTGGCACACGGATAACTCCTCACCCAGGCAGCCAGACAAGGTGTGTGCTCAGCTCAGGGGGATGCCTGTACACACGGTGCATTTCTTACAGCAGTCACCAGTTCAAAAACAATAATACAAAAGTTTATTTTCTCTAAAGAACAATCCAACACACATCTGAACTGCAGCAGGAACCAAACCATGGAGAGCTGCAGGCAGCAGAGTCACAGGCACAAGGTGCAACACCACAGCTTGTTCTGGGAATGCTGTCACAGCCCCGAGCTGCCATAAGGGTAGGTCACACACCCCAAGGACAAGGCACGGTCACCTATCGGTGCTTATCATCATCTCTCTGCTTCTTGGTATCTCTGTCCCTGCTCCGGTCTCTATCCCTGTCCTTCCTGTCTCTGTCCTTCCTTTCCCTCCCCCTGCTCCTCTCCTCTTTGGAGTCTCTCTCACTGTCACCCCAAGCCCACGACCTCTCCCTTTCTGGCCAGCGTTTGTCCCTGCTCCTCTCATGGTCCCGGTCCCTCGTTCTCCAGTCCCTCGTTCCCTCACGAGACCAGTTTCTTTTCTCTGATGATCCTTCTCCATAGAAATCATTCTTCATGTTTGGCAAATTGATAGGCTTTCGGAAAGGTCTGTCCCGTCCTCCGAACCGCAGCTGCCCGGATTCTTTTTTGCCTCCAAACCCACCCCCAAGCCTCCGGGGAATCCATCCTTTGAGAGTTCTTTCCAGTTCAAAGTCTACAAAGATCTCATGTTGGTCGATGACCAGCCTGTTGGCATCTCTGTGGGCCTTCAGCAGCGCACGCTCCTCTTTGTACTCAATAAACGCATAACCCTTGGAAAATCCCGTGACCAGGTCTCGAACCAGACGGATCTTTCTGATGTCTCCATAGCGGGAAAAAACCTCCTTTAACTTCTCTTCTGTGGTCTGAAGATTGAGCCTCGCCACGAAGAGGGTGAGGTGAGGATCTCCCGTGACGCCCTTGTTGGGTACGTACCGCGCCAGCATCGCCCGCCATATGGCCCGGTCGTGGGGCTCCTCGTCCGTGCCATCGATGCTGCCAGCCTTGAGGGGGTCGTACTCCTTCGCTATGGGGGCCCAGTCAGCCATTGTCTAGTGGGGGAGAACGCACACGGCACAGGCTCAGAACAGCCCGCCAAGAATCGCTTCCAGCACCGCCGCACTGTGTTCATCCGAAAATCCCCCAAAGTGTGACACACGAAAATAAACCAGCCGTGTCGCTGTTGTTCGAGTCCACATGCCGGGACAGAGCCGTGCCGGGAGCCGCATCCTCCCCTGGCCTACCCCGGCCTGAGGGGCCCGGCCTTTCCCCGCGGGCCCGGCCCGGCCCAGGAGGCCCCTCAGCCCCGCTCCCGCCGCCGCCTGTCCCCTCACCCGCCCGGCGCGGCTGGACACGGCTCTCCCGGCTCTCCGCCGGCCCGGAGGAGCCGCAGCCGCTCCCGCCGGGGTCGATCTCAGCCCATTTCCCCGCTCCCGAAGCCCGCAGTCCCCCCGCCCCGCTCCCGGAGCCGCCGAGGCGGACGTGGCGCTGCGGAAAGGCCTCAGTGCCGGTTCCCGGGGCTGCCGGAGAGCCCCTCGTTCCTTACCGGCAGCGGAGCGCGGGCGGTGCCTCCTCAGGGGAAGGGGCAGGGCGGGAAGCGGCGCGGGGCCGCGGCCGCCGCCATGGGAGCGCCGGGGGCGGGAGGAGCCGCTCCGCCCGCGGCTCCGCCGGCAGCGCCGCCCGGCCCGGCCGGGAGGGAGGGAGGGAGCGCCGGGGTGCGGCGGGCATGGAGCGGGGCCGGGACGGGGAGGAGGAGCTGGAGGAGGAGGATGATGAGGATGAGGAGGAGGATGGCGGCCCGGAGAGCGCCCTGGAGAAGAGCCCGTTCCAGCTGACGGCCGCGGATGTCTACGACATCTCCTCCGTGGTGGGCCGGGACCTGCTCCAGCTCCGCGCCGGGCCGCAGCTGCCCGCCGCCCGCGCCCGGCTGCAGTTCAGGATCGTCAGGGTGCTGGAGATGCTGGAGGCGCTGGTGAGCGAGAGCAGCGTGGCCGAGGAGCAGCTGCGGCGGGAGCGGGACAGCCTCCGGCGGGAGCTGGAGCAGCTGCGGGCGGCGGCCCGAGGGAGCGCCCCGCAGGTGGGTGCGGGACTCGGCCGGGACACACCGGACACACGGGACACACGGACACACCGGACACACGGGACACACCGGACACACCGGACACACGGGACACACCGGACACATGGGACACACCGGACACACCGGACATACGGGACACACCGGACACACGGGACACACGGGACACACCGGACACACGGGACACACGGGACACACGGGACACACGGGACACGGGCTCCTTCCCCAGCACGGGCACACCACGCGCGGGTCGCGGAGCGCACCCAGAGCCACACCAGACGGGCCGGCCGATACTCGTGGTATCTTTTGTGTCAGCCGGACGAGTTTCACGAAGTCACTTCCCGTCTTTGGCCATGAAAGCCTGGAAGCTCTTTCCTTCGGGGTGCTCGCAGTGCTGTGGATTCCTCGCTGCAGTTTCGCTGCAGTGACTGACCCAGCAAAGTTGGGTCAGTCACGCACAAAGTTCAGAGAGTGCAAACCCACCGCGTTCAGCTCTTGCACAGCACCGGCCCCATAGAGACAACTGCCTGCAAACACTGAGGCTTTGTTACCCCCTGTGAGGGAGATTGATGTCTTGATTACTACAAAGGTTTTAAATCAAAAAAGGAGAGTTCAGTTCTCACCTTTCTTTGACACGGAATTTTGGTGTGGCATTAGATGGTTCAGCCTCACTCATCATCTGAGAACAATCTGATAAAAGCATCTTGACAACTAAATTGCAAACTCTTCCGGACAGAGACTTTGCTTTTAACTGTGGTCAGATCTTGTCACAGTTTGTGGCCTATACTTGGCTGGGGAACACAGTCACTAAGGGAATACAAAAATATGAAGAACTATACTTAACTGCTTGGGGGAAAAAAAAAATCAGGATTGTGATGAATTCATACCAATTCTAAAAATTCCACATTTATAAAATCCAGATATTTTACTCTCTGAATGCTGAGTTTTTTGAGAGGTTACAAGATCCACCACTGTTTATTTTACAGCCCAGCCTTGGACCAGATCAAATGGTGATAGACCTCACAGACCCCAACCGGCCCCGGTTCACGCTACAGGAGCTCCGAGATGTATTGCAAGAGAGGAACCAGCTGAAAGCTCAGCTTCTGGTGGTGCAAGAGGAGCTACAGTGCTATAAGAGGTAAAGCTTGAAGTCAGCAGAGAACTAATACTACTAATAACAAGTACTTCATGAAGCTTATCAGCTGAGTCTTGCAGGTTTGGACCCCTAGGTCAGGACAGGCACTGTCCAGGTATGTAAGTGAGCCCTGTGCTCCCCAGAGCATACAAGTGAGCAAAGAAAACTGGGGGAGCAATGAAGTGTCTATGCAACACGATTTAAAAACCAAACTCCCTTTTCCTCTGCACAGTTCTCAGCCCATTCCCATAACTGTCCCACTCTCAGCCTACGCAGAGTTCCTCCCATTCCACACCCAGGCTGGGTTCTCGTGCACAGGAATTCATCTGTGCAGCCACAGCAGCTGCACACACACTGTGTCTAAAGCCACACTACATACCAAAGAGCACGGGGGGTTTCCAGCTCAGCTTCAGTCAAAGTTTCCTTCCTCCTGCAGCGTGATGCTGATTGATCTCCGGTCCTTCCCTCCCACGGGGGTGTGACACTGACCTAGAAACAGAATATTGAGCTCTTTCATCATTCATGACAATCTGTGGGGTTTTTAAGACGGCCAGCAGAGGGTTGTGTAAGGCCCTTGCACTGTGCAAAGCAAGTGATTTCAGAGAAGGGTTTGGTCGTTCCTGAAAGGACAGTCAGTGTGAGTCAAAGGGTGGGATGTGGGAAGAGTCTTGATCTTGGTGCTACAAATTCATTCACCCCAAAGGCTCTCCTTCCCAACCTTTGCCCCCTCTCATCAGGTTGGATTATAAACTCTTTGGGTCAAGAAATTTCTTCTTCATCTAGAAGATTAATCTGAGCACATTAGGTTTCATTTGGGACATCTCAGCAGCACCCTCCTGGATACAGCGAGCCTGCCCTTTGCCTTGTCTGTAACAGGCAGGTTAAGCCAAGAAGTTACACTTCAATCCAAGAATTTACAAACTGCCTGACCACTTCCCCAGCTCAGCTGGCTGCTTTGCTGTGCAGCAGTGGAATGGCTTCTTGCTTTGATTTCCCAGCTGTTACACAGTTTGGTACAGGCCAAGTTAAAAAATTAACAGTGGGAATGTTTTCAGGTTTTTAGTGATCTGAGTCACAGTGCTGTGCACCAAGAGCAGGGCAGGGCTGCTTTTCAGGTCGAGTAATTTGTGAGGTTATCTCCTCATACAGTGTTACAGCTTAAGCCAAAACCCATTTTCCCTCTAAACAGTCACATAAAATCCTAATTGTAATTGTAGTAAAGAGTAATTGTGCAGGAGGATAAATATATGTTCTAAAATGCTTTGTACACATTGGAAATAAGCTCTGCATAACAAGGTAACAAACATCTCAGAGACTGGCTCAGAGTGACTGGTGCTGTTTGGGGGCTGCATTTTTCATCATGATTTCTGGGTAGAAGTTCCTATGCAGATGTTAGAGCTCTGCAGGGTCACCCAACAGCTCATTGTCTCATTGATCCAAGGGAGTCTGCCTCAGAATTACCCCATGCCTGGTGTCACACCAGTTTTGAAGTGCTCTGTGTTTTTATTTCTGAATCCAGTTGAGTGTTGCTTGGCTACTCTTCGCCTGCAGTCACAGGCTTTGATCCTCTGAGCTCTCCAAATGACTGAGGTCAGCTCAGGACAAGCTGTGAAAACAGAGTGTGCAGGCTGGGAAAATCTCACCCTGTTCCAGGCAGGGAAAACACCCTTTGGTCAAACCAAAACTGCTGCCTGGAGTAGGCGGTTACAGCTTCTGGAGTGTAGAAACACTGATGTGAGATGGTGAAATCTAGAGCTGAGGCAAAGCCTTTCTTCTCTCCTCTGTAGGGTGGAAAGAGGAACAGGGGAGCTGGGAATCTCCCATCTGTGCCCAGGCCTGGTGTGAGCCTGGGTGGCTGCGCTGGAGGTACCACACATCCACCCCTGCAGAAATTCACCATTTGTGTCCACACCATCCTCCTACCCTTGGACTTTTGCACAAATCCAAGTGTGATTACACTTCCCCTTCACCCCCATTATGATTTGCCATTTTTTTCTCTGTGGAGAAGTCAGCTTGTTACTTTTTTAGTGTTCTAAGCATAACCCTGGCACCATTACATTGCTGTATTTAGGGATAATAATTCATTATTTTCAGTTCAGTACAAGCAAGCTGCCATCCCTGTCCTGTGAACACTCATTCACCCCTGTCCAGTGAGAGGTCTAACTCATGCACTGTCACACTCTGCACAAACCCACAAAAAATAAACAAAACCGTTTATTTTCCCAGTGGGATCATCTCACAGAAAAGGGACCAAACTGAAGAACTGGACAAGGAAGCCAGTGGCAGCAGTGCTGGCACCAGAAAGAACAGTGAAGAGAAGACAATCATCAAAAGGCTGTAAGTTTGTCTGCAGCTTTTGGGGCAGAATTTGTGAGAACATGGCCCACTCCTTACACAGTGAATCCAGGGGTGGATGCTGAACTTTAGCCTGGTTGGCTGGATATTGTTTGCTACTCTCCATGTAAAGTTAAAAACCTGATAAAGCAATCTCTTCCTGGGGAAAAAGCACTGCACAGGAAAGCCACCTCCACCCAGGCAAGCAGGGAGTCACTTTTTTCCTAGGAAAAACAAGATTCCTGAGCAAAATGATTCAATACTTGCCTCCCCTGCCAGCCCCTCAGGGCTGTGCTGTGGGAGCTCCCCAGCTGGCCCCAGGCTTTGTTTACATTGTACACAAAACCCACAAGCTCAGGGTCTGTCCCTAAAGTCCCCCAAAATAGCACATTGACAGGGCCAGCTCCCTGCCTGTTCCTTGTTATCCTTTCTGCTATTGAATTCTCTTTTTTTAGGTTTTCTTTTAAACATGGAAAATGAGCATCCTCAAGGACTTTGCTGCTTTTGAGAATGGCACTGGGAAAGACAATGACTGGAAGCAGCAGCATCACTCCTACTGTAGAGAATGAGCAATCTCATTAAAATTATGTTGTATAATATTCTTTCAGAATAGATTTTACTCTGCTTTTTCAGAAACTGTTTGAAACAGACACTTTTTGTATTTCTTACTGTCAGACATTATCCACGTGTAGAAAATAAAATGTTTATACAAAGCTGGGGTTTATTCTTATTAAAAGTGCCTGTGATGATCTGTACTACAGCATACTTATCCTGTCCAGCTATCAAAACATTCAGCCCAAATGATTTTGTAAGATGAAGGTAATAGAGATATGCCATTCACAATTGGTTGTTTGGGGGTGAGATGAACAGTGGAAGAAAGCACAGCAAAGGAAGAAAAGCTGCTGCAACTGCTCAGACTGGAACAGATGCACCAAACATTTCATTTCTGACAGCTGAAGGTCTCCTGTGGTAGGGAGTTGTTTTGCATAAGCTCTGTTCTTTCAATCACCTGCCACAAGCTGTGTATTGGCCCCAGTAATGAGATTTAGCACCAGTGGAAGCATATAGGGCAAACAGAGGAGTGGGAAAAGAAGCTTGAAAGACACCAATTAGGTTCTCCATTTAGAAAGGTAGAATATCCAGAGCAGAAGTCTGAACAGACATAAAAGAAGCAGTGACAGGTATCAAACTGTGATCTTACTCTCTCCAGAAATAAAAGCAGGCTCTGAAGTCTTTTGATTCCCTCTCCTACACTGGCAGCATGAAAAATATAGGGCACTTGACACATGTGCTCAGCTGCACCATGTGGATGGGCTCAGCAGAAGGCAGAGCTGCAGCCTCCCTTCCGAGGCCAGGAACAGCTGGCTCTGAGCAAGGCCACACCACAGCTGGCTGACCTGAGCCAGCTGCTTTAGCCAGGGCACAGAACCACTCAAGTCCCTTTTGCCATATTCAAAATATCAATAAGCCTTGGCCATGCCCTCATTGTGTATTTTCTACAGCATGGCAGCAGGGAAGGCAGCTACTGCACGGCCTGAGCAGAGGCTTTGGGCAGAGAAAAAAAATGAAACTAAACAATCAATCAGCAAGAGCCAGGATGCACCTCTGAGCTGAAGAGAGGTGCTTACATGTGATCTGAATTCCATCCTCTTCTATGGCTTATCCAGGCATGTATTTTCCAATCTCCTTTAAAAAAAAAAAAAAAGCAGTTTAGCTCCCAACCCAAGGGTATCTTTCCCTGTGACACCTTGTTAGAAGATGAAGCCTTCCTGTGAGGCACAGAGATAAACACCCAAATGACAGATTGCTGTGAGAAATACAGAGACAGATCTCTAGATCTCTGTATGTGTGCCTAGAAAAGTAAAGGATACAGATGCAGTGCAACATGAGCTTTATTTCCATCCTCCAACGCAGTGCTACTCAATTACCGGTTAAGCTTTCAGAGAAGACATTTTCTTTTTATGTAAAACAGGGAGATCTTTCCCCTTTCTTGTTTACAAAAGTGATGCTGAAGTACAGAGGTTTTAAGCTATTCAACCTGATAGAGAACACGTAAATGTTTAAATAAAATTTAAAAAAAAAATTATTCCAACTTTGACTTATGGGAAGTGCTCTAGTTTAACAGGATACTGTACACATTGCTGAGGTCTCTGTTACTGAGACCAGAGAAAAATCAGTGCCAACTCAGACAAGTTTACCAGTGAGGCTTACCTGAAACTCAGTACATGTAATGTAACAGGTCTCCAGTTAATTCTTCAGAAATGGGAAAATACCCAGGGCTTGCTCTGACGAGTTTGCCTTGTGTGAAGCAGTAAATAATATAAAGCATTTAACAGCTAATGATTTTCACAGCTTTCTTTCAAAATGCTCAAAAAACTGCAATGGAGACAGGTAGTATAGCAGCCGTTTCATCAATAATAAATATAATCTTTATTTTACAGAGACATTGTCTTCAAGTTTTTAATTTAAAAAATACATCACTAAGCCACCTCTCTTGCTGCTGGAG